AAAGTTAGAGATTAAAAATAAGATTAACGCGATTAAAAAACATAAAGCGCTAAATATGACTGTAATTAATTAATTGCAATTAACGTGATAATTTGACACCCCTACAATCAATATTACTACCATTACTGCTGCTACTTCTACTACTACTACAATCACCAGCGACACTCTTACTACTGCGGCTACTATGTCTACTAGTGTTTCCTTATGACCTCCTGTATATAACTGTGATATACTGGATTTATATTATGACATTTGTTTTTTTCTTACTGTACATGTATTTATATAATTTGTGTCTTACTGATACCATATTTTTATTGCTACTTATTAAGAAGTTTACTACCATTTTTTTTCACTTGTGTTATTGTTATTGCAATATGATGTGATGTGTGAGCGACTGTGTCCAAGTAATTTTCCTTGTGGATCAATAAAGTTTGTCTAAGTCTAAGTCCAGTCATGCAACATTTTTTTTTTCTTTTTCAGTTTTCATTAGAGCAGGTAAAGCATCCAATCTTCAAAACACAATAATTAAATAATGGTTACAAAACAGTATGCAGAACAATATAAGTGCTGCATTGCCTAATACTCCTTTAATACCTCTACCATCTCCATAGCAACACCACACTCACCCTGAACTACAACTACATTCGCCCTTATGGTAGTCTCCTTACATCCTATTGATATTTTGCAGTGACACCACGCTGGGGGGTGTTCTACATGTGTCTCTAACAGTAGAATGTTCTGGAGTTACCATGGTAACACAGTGAGCACATTAGCAAAGAGCGCACTATCAAACACAGTCCAAAAAAAAATACCAAAATGGATATAAACAACACATTTTTATGAGCCTTTGATCAATACGAGTGTTCATGGTCCTGTTCAGGTGTTTGATTTTCAACCAAAAGGTGAGAGTGACTAAAGCTACGTTCAGACTGCAGCCTAAAGTGACCAAAATCCGATTTTTTCGCCCCTATGTGACCTGTATCTGATCTTTTAATGACGGATTTTTTTTCAAATGTGACCCAGGCCACTTGGATGTGTGGTCCTAAAACCGATACATATCCGATCCTCTGACGTGCGACTTCAATCTGAACAGCCAGGTCGCATTCATCCCACCTACACGTCAAGCTCGGAGTCTAGTCAATGTAGGGAAAGCGAGGTTAGCGAGTCAATTCATATTTGGGGGGATCACTGCATTCAGGCGAAATTGGAGGGTCTTATCGGAACTGAAATGATTGCCAAAGAAATGCTTGAGCGCGGCTAAAGGCGGTCCTGGCTCTAATATCAACAAAAAATAAAGAGCCTGAGCGCCAAATACAAGGAGGCTAAAGTCTCAAACAACGAAGCGACTGTGGACGTGCAAACTGTCCATTTTACGAAGAACTGGACTGTATTTTGGGAGACAAGCCCAGCCTTTAGGTCAGTATGACGTCGTCGTATTCTCTAATGCTTATGCGGGACACTTTTGGGGATTTTAAAGTTCACACATACAAGTTGCATTTAATTGGAAATGTGAACGACTTTGCAAAAAAATCGGATTTCACAAAAAGACCCAAATTGAACGGAGTCTGAACATAGCGTAACTGAAAAACTGTTGGCTGAGGCTAACTTGCTTCTGACTGTCATTGCATGTGTGAGAGAGATGTTTAACAGCTCAAAACAGCTCACTTGACATAGTACCTACTCTGCTACTACGCTCCCTTCATACCCCTCCACACTCTAACACCATTGCTGTAGCACCACCACAAATACCCCGAACTGCAGTTGCTGTTATTTGGGTGTGCGGTGAACTCAAAGGACCTTCGTAGTCTCATTATATCCTATAGGCACTGGCATGGACCAAACAAAAGTCAAATGCCTACTCTGCTAATGCACTCCCTCAGTATCCCTACACGCTCCAAAACCATTGCCATAGCAACACCACGGTCACCCTGAAATGGCTGGGTTTCCGATGACATCAAAACATTTTATAGGTCAATAATATTTAACGCAGATGGGGTGAGGGAAGTTCTGTTGTAACACTGTGAGTTCCTGGTGCCAGTCACTAGTGTTGTAGTCAAGACCAGTCTGAGAACACGGGGTCCCGAGACCAAGACAAGACTAAGGCCTCTGAGGGTCAAGACCGGGACAAGACTGAGACCACGGGCCATCGAGACCAAATCAAGACCATCTTTGTCATTTTTAATATTTATTTGTATTTTACAGTTATTTTTGGCAAATATATATCAATTTTTTGTAATGTTTTTATAAATCTGTCTCCATTTGATCTGGTCATGTAAGCTTAACATAGGCCAAGCAAACTGTACTGCACTTAAATGCCCCTTTTTTTGGACCCTGACCCACAGTTTGTGAACCCCTTCTTTAATTCCACTTTACAGAAAACAACTTCATAGTTAATCAAGTGGGTTTTTTCAAGTTCATAACATTTATAGTTACATTATCTTACTGGCGCCATCGAGACCGAGACAAGACCAAGTCCAAGTGCACTCGAGTCCGAGACAAGACCAAGACCGGCCTGAAGTAGTATGACACTAACAGTTACTAATAGAAAGGATCAAGTATTTACCAATGCACTCCCTTCATACACCATCATTTTATGTGTGAGAGACTTGTTAAACATTTCATTTATTGTAGTTCCAGCTAAGTCAGTTCTTTAAGGTCAGTGTGGTAAAATTTAAGCTCAAATTAAAGTCTAATAAAGCTTCAGACAGAGCAGAACCTACAGTTAGCGTGACATCCCAGGGAATGTTGATGACGTCAGACATCCGAAGTATCAAGACGAGGGGCAAGAGCCAGATTTTTGTATTGATAACGTTGTACTTTGTGATGAAATGACCCAAAAAATAAATGCAATACTAAAACCTGATCATTTCCATCAAAAACTAGACCCAAGAACTCACTTCATTACAACAAAAATCTGCATTTTGACTATATTCGTTTTAGCTGCCCCCGTTTCGAATGTTATGGCGTCATGTGAAATCCAGTATTAGGTTTGCGTTCAATCACAACATTCACATTCAGTGGTAGAAAATGCTGTTTAACTTGCTGATTTATTGACCTAGTTTATGGTTAATATCGCTGTAATTACTGAACTTACCCAGGTGAAACAAAAACTGGCACAAAGTTCAATGTCTTGTCAAGACTAGGGATGCACCGATACAATACTGGTATCGGGAATATATGCCAATATTGTCATTTTTGATGGATCGAATACTGGTTCCTAGATATGGGTTTAGTTGATATCCTATTTTGGTCCATTTGGTCTATTTTTTGGTGTATTAAGGTGATTTACTGGCCAATATTTGACCTCAGCATGCCTAATATTGAATTTGTATCTTTTCAAATCCATTCTGTAATTATTTTAAGTGATAAATAGCCATACCCTTATTTGTGTTTAAATGAAGTTAATTGTACTTTCTGTCTCTGCTCTGGTATTGGTTAATATCAGGTATCGGCAGATGCTTAGAGCCAAAATATCGTCATCAGTATCGGAACAGAAAAAGCTGGAGCGGTACGTCCCTATTTATGATATAAGATTAATGTGGCAAGCTTATGGAGTGAATCCCAAACAAATAAAAATAAAGACAAGGTTCAACATTTGTGGATCAGTTTGGACATTTCCAGTGACTCCACCACAGGTCCCAGCTCTCCATCTGAAATTATAACTTCAAATCAAATTATCGCTGCAGAACATTAATGCAAACTATTTTTGTTATCCTTATATCCTATAGGCATGGACTATATAGCCTGGACCAAACCGAAGCAGTGAACTTGATAGTGCACTTCAGACATAGGGGCAAATGACATCGCCTGGAGCCACTTGTACTGAATGAATGGCCCCTTTTTCAGGATCACAGGCTGAACTTGTCCCCTGGGACGTGGAATTTCAGAGGGTTTTCCCCCCTTTTCCAAACACTCACAGACGACTCCGCTTTAAAGCTAAAAACAAGGTAATGTTGGACTTCCTACGCAGTCACAGCCAGGCAAAACACAGAGCTCTGGGTTTTCAAATACAGACAGTGTAAAGAAAGACTAAACCGGGACTGAACCAGGTCTGTATAGTACGAAACCAGGGCTAAGTGAGAACTAAACCAGGTCAATTGTAAACCAGGACTTCAACCAGACCTGAACTAGGACTAGACCAGAATTAAGCCAGAACCACTACATTAAATTTTACTTAAAGCAGGACTAAACCAAGTTGAAATCAAGACAATCTGGTTTGGACTAGGACTAACCCAGGACTAAACCAGCTCTAACTAAACCAAGACTACAACCTGACTAAACCAGCTCTGAACTAGGAATAAACTAGGATTTAGATGGGACTACTACATCAAGTTTTAATCAAACACCAGCTCAAAACCAAACTGCTCTAAACTAGGACTTAAACCAGACTAAACCGGGTTTAAGCCAAGATTGCTTTCAGATTTACTCACCACATCAAATTTGGGACTAAATTGGAAGTTAATCGGGAACTTAACCTGGATAAGAAAAGGGCTAAACTCAGACAAAACTGGCCTCAAACCAGGACCAAACCAGGACTATAGGGTGAATGCATACAGTGAATGAGTGAAACAAGTATGATCTAAAACTAAACCGGGTCCAAAATATGACTACACCAGGTCATAAATGGGACTAAACCACTGAACTACACTAGGACTACAGTGGGTCCGAAAGAGGCAGAGGACTACAATGTGGCATTACGAATCAGATCTTTGAAGAGGCGACCTTTCCTACAAAAAGTGTGTGAAGTTTTCTAGAAATTTGAGAGAAATATGGATAAGGTATAATGGCACACTGCGTAACATTGCACGTACAGTAATAATATCTCCAAACAGGTGACGTGCCCCCCACCAGAAGCGTTAACTCGGCTTCAAATCTCGTTATTAAAAGTTACAAATCTGCAAACAATTGAGCAAGCTATGAATGAAACGGCCTCATTCATAGCGCCCCTTCACCGCAACTCGAGTTAACTCTCCCCAAAGTGCGCAGACAGTGCCACTTACCGTTTTGCTCCTTTATCGACGTCGTGAGCTGGAACTTGCTGACATGACTCGACTCCGCTCTGGACCCGTAGTGTTGGAGAAGAAGCCATGTAACGAGGAGACCCAATGGAAGGATCATTTGGATGGAGTGGTGGAGGTGGTGATAGTGGGCGAACACGAAGCGCAGTACGCGGGACGTTACAGAGTAGTATCACCAGACGCGCGGACACCAGTGCGTATTTGGGCACATTTGGAGATGGTAGACGCAGAGTAGAATCCACATAATCCTGCTGAATCAACGCGTTTCCAGATTGCCAAAGGTTGTAACGTGTTCACGGTTGGCGCTGCGTAAAGCTCGTGCCCACCTGTCGCGAAAAAGTTGGACAAAAGTGACCCAAAGTTAGACCAAATGGTTCCTTGTGGCGAGTTTTCATCTGATAAATGTTAGTTACGCACGCTTGCAAGTCGATTCGGTTCAAATAGATCCCAGGAGAGAAGCGTTTTGCGAAAGGAGCAACCTGATCCAGAGCTTTAGCCGAGCGCGCTGGTGCAGTCTGCGGCGGGGGTGTGCGCTCGCAGCTCCGCGGAGAGAGACGTGGAGTGTGCCGCTGTTGGCCCTTGTAGGAAACTGCCAAACAGACGGTACAACAGGTGCTATACATAAAGTACGCGATCCCGGCCCAGGAAACTCCCCGAGACACGTTAACCATTGCGCTGCTGCTGCTGCTGCCGCCTCGGCCAATCAGAGCGCGGGGAAGTCGGTGCCCATTCAAACTTTGGAGTAACGGGGATATGGCAGAGTCAGCGTTTTTCTTTCTTCTAAAGCCATAGAAAAGAAAGCGTGCTAAATTTAAACAGAAAATAGACAAAATGGAGTAAAGAGGTGATAAAAAGCAAAGAATGTAATGTTTTGAAATGATAAACTTTAACATGACGCGCGCATTTTTCCTTTGAACCTAAAATAAACACATAAATAACATGCAAATACATATTATAAGGAGGAAAAATGTAGATAAAGGATTAAACAATGATATTAGTATGAGGATTGATTAAAAAATTTCATTATATTTTAAAGATATTTGCACAGAAAATTCCTTTAACCAAGAGCAATATCTATTTTTGGCCCAAAATGTGTAATAAGCCCTGAAATAGGACTCTTTTGGGAGGAGGTTAGAAAAGCGGTGGAGATGATTGTTTCTAAGAACATTCCAACAAATCCTGTTATGTTTATTTTAGGTATATATCCCAGAAAGCACAAGTTTACTAAAAGTGAACAGATTATGATTACGCAAAAAAGAACAATTGCAATGTTTTGGGAAAAAAAAAAAAAAAACTTGTAGGCCCAGGTTGGTGCATTGAGTAAAACAGATGCTCATAGTTTTTCCCTTGGAAAAGATCACATGCATTAGGAAAGGAAAGTTGAAATTGTTTGACGAGGTGTGGTGTCCTCTTAAAAGTTTTGTAGGGAATCTTAATTTGACGGATGGTGCTGAAGATGATTGAGATTATTATTGTAAACTTTCTTTTTTTTTTTTTTATGTATGTATGTATGTGTACATTTTATATTTTTATGGTGTGTATATATGTATATATATGTTTATATTTATTCATATTTGGGTTGGGAGAAAAAATGTATGTATGGCTATAACTTAATTTTCTAACTTTTAGGTTCATCTGTAATTGTTTTTTTTTTTTTTTATTATTTTTTTTTTTATAATGTACAAAACGAAATAAAAAAACGAAAAAAAAAAAAAAAAAAAAAAAAAATTGTAATAAGTTGTCACGATACACTTCATTACTAATTCTGATAATAAAAGGCTTACATATTTTTTTGTTTTTATCCAATTATAGTTGCTTCTTTAAAGGTGCATTGTGTAACATTTCTAGTGGAGGGTGTGCCACTTGCTCAACTCCATGGAAATGTTATTGCTTTGTCGAGAATGTTCCAGAGTATAGGTTAAATCTGTCTATAACAAGGGAGACAAGCAGGTTACAGCACTACGCGACATTACAAGTCAGATCTGTGGAGAGTCGTCTCTATTCACAGAAAGAATTATTGCATTTTTGAGCAATAGAAACACCTGCAATGAATAAATGCTGGATTTGTTAAATGTGATACCATGGAACATTCCAGGGAAAGCACTAACATCTCCAGGTAGACAAGCAGGTAGCAAAATATCTACCAGAAAAGTTGTGCCGTGCATCTTTAATGGCACCATTGGTTTTACTAGAACTGCTACAGATACAGACTCTAGTAAAACTTTAGGAATGGCCACTTTTGCTCTTGTAATACACTGTTTTATTGTTCATTATTTGTTTATCTGTCAGAGAAAATGAAAACACTGGCAACACAAAAGAGGAAATATATTTGTGTAGGATTATAGCAGAATAGAGGTCCGTGTACCATTTGTTCTTTTGAATTTCAATTAAGAACGAAAAACGATAAAATAGGAAAACAGTTTGTTATTTCATTATTCCATTTTAGTGTAAAACAAAGTCTGACCTCTATTTCCAATATTTAATTGTATTTCAAATAGCCCCAATCAAAAAACAGTCTCGGTGCGTATTTCAATTTTGATGATTTTCTATTTGCCCCGAAAGTTCTGCTGCAGCTTCAACCATGGATCTATAATTAAAACTATTTTTATTATAGTTTTGTGGTGTCCACTCAACAAAGGAGAGTTTAATCGCTCCTTCCTGTTTCTCGTCATGGAGTTCAACAATTACTTTATACGACGCAAAAGTAAACGTGTCGCTATAAAAGAAAAGAACAGGTTTGCCCACAAAACTGCAACCATTTTTCAGGTAAGTCCTTTTAGCAGCAGCAAACTAGAAAAGCACTCAGAGAGCGCAGACCTCCGCCAAGGACTACCCCAATTTTTTATATAAATTGCGATAAAATCAGTCTTCTGGATCAGATCCGGATCAGCCTTTGGAATATGAAAGAGGATCCCATTGTCCATCCCTGAGTCAAATTTCATGGGGTTTGATCAATAATTAACCGAAATATTGAGAAACAAAATTTTTTGCCCCATTTACCACAATGTTAACTAAAATTTCAAAGTGATCCAGAATCCAGGATTTCTTCCGGATCACCCCCAAAATGAAATCAGTTCTTCCTTTTCACATTTCCAACAAATCCTGAAAATTTCATCAAAATTGGTCCATAACTTTTTGAGTTATGTTGCTAACAGACAAACAAACAAACAAACAAACAGACAAACAAACAGACAAACGGCGGCAAAAACATAACCTCCTTGGCAGAGGTAATAAACCAGAGAGAATAAAATATCAAAATTGAAAACGGCAAGATCACTGTTTTTTGATTGGTGTTATTTGAAATGGAAAGAGAAATAGAAGGTCGAAATGTTTTTTTTTTTTTTTTTTTTTTGACACTCGTTCTTTAAAATTCAAAAGATCAAATGGTGCACAGACCAATAGGGTTAGGGTTAAACTGTTACTCATCACTCTGTATTACTTTTCTTACGTCTACTGTTGTACTGAATTGTGGTGGCTCTGAAACACAATTTCATTTTCATATCAACATCAACATAAAAATGACGAATAAACTAGTCTAAATCTAATTAGCTCTTTCCCACTTGCACTCATTGCATGCAAATCAGTGTCTAATTACAATACTCTTGATTAAATTACTCGGTATTGCTTTTGTGACAACTTAAATGGAAACATAACAACGGAAAGTACAGTATCTATGAAAGTTTAGTACGTGAACAAGTTCCATGTGTTAGAAAAACCTGCACATTTGTTCAAACATGCACCTGAACCTGAAGTGTAACTGTGTGAGCCACAAGGACGCGGCTGCACCTGCACAAAACTATTAACATGTTACGAACACATGGTACTGCTAAAGGCTCTGCAGGGGCCCAGGTCACATCAAACACCAGAGACCGTCTACATGAGGCACGATGCAAACTAATGAGAGAGGAAACAGAGCTGTGGCTGCCCCGTGCATGACTCCTCTCTATTTACTGTACAGATAGGCGAGGTGAGACTATTGTGATCTGTTATTTTGAGACTGATATTAAATAAAGAGAGCTCTGGGAATCTATAATACAGTCTGAGCCGAATTGCATTATGGACTCAATAAATTTCCCAAAAAGTGCATTACTGTAAGAGTTACAAGAAGAATCAATGCGAGGGCACAACCATTTCTGAATCACAACTCTGCAGATTAAACATAACATAATAATTCCACACAATATTTTTTTCTTTTTTACAAGGAAGACAATAAAGAATGCCCACAAACACCTCAACTAAGTACTACGATACTCCTATTACAGCTGCTACTGTTTCCGATACTGCCGTGTTTTTCGGACTGTAAGTCACACTTTTTTTTAAACGTTTGAGTGGTCCTACTCCAGTGCGACTTATATATTAAAATGTTCACAATGACAGCGGTGACACACAAGCCTAGAGAACCTTGTGTGTCAGTGTCTGCTACTCCTATTAGTCCTGTACCACTGTCACTTCACTCTACTGCGCATGTCTACTGCAGAAAAAGCCTCTGTCCGGTCTGGGATCATGTTAGTCAAGTCGATCGCACCATTACTTCTGTACTACTGAAAACTTACAATGGTAATCGAACAGCAGAAAGAAAGTTTGGAGTGAGTAAGAAACTTGTGAGGGACTGGCGAAAGGCAGGGCTGGAGAACACAGCTTCATGATAACTGGGAGGATGCACCATGCAGCTTTCCTGGAAGTTACTGGATGGATCGACAAAGCCTGGACTTCAGTGACACCAAAACCATCCTGTTGGGATTCAGAAAGGCTGGAATAATTCTAACTGAAACTGATGCTGAGTCTGACGACAGCTACGCAGAGAAGCAAGCAGTGGTCTGTATACCTCCAGACTTCAGGGAGTTGCTTAGAAGTGATGCCAAGAATGAAGAAACCAATGGATTTAGTTAAATGTGTTATGTTCTGTTTATGCTATAGTTATCTGAATAACTGTTCATATGTGACATTAACAGCCTGTTGTTCCCTATTCTATTTTTATTACTATAATTTGCTTTTCCAGTTCAAATGTCTGTTCTTGGTCTCTGATTTTATCAAATAAATTTCCCCTAAAAAGGCTGGTGGGACTTATACTCCGGTGTGACTTATAGTCTGAAAAATACGGTACTGTGATTTTCTAGAAAAAACACAGATGTCAAGAAATCACATACGAAATCAAAATGACCACATAATATAGAAACTACTACTGCTATTACAACTACTGCTACAATGGTAGTACTACTATTACTACCATTACTACTACTAAAAATGACACTATGGCTGGTGCTACTATAACTTCTACAAATAGTACTACAACTACTACTATTACCAGTGCAACAAAAACTTCTATACTCTGTAATATTACTATACAACTGGTGTTACCACTACAATTACTTGTTACGAGTGTTGCATTGTTCATAGAGAGTTTCTCACAAACCTTATGATTTGAAGGTTCAAGTCCAATTAACAGCATCATAGAATAGTCCTTGAGCAAAACACCTCGCCCATCTTGCCAGGTCTAAACAGCTACATAGGTATAAGATATCATACAAGTACATATTTTTCATGCTGTGGTTTTTAATGTTAAAATTCCTTT